ATTGGTTGAAGATGATTCAGGCTTGCTGGATGAAGAATTTGTCCTGAGTGATTTCTTGTCAACAAGGAAACCGGATTCTTAGGGTTGTAAGAGTGCAGTCTTACTACCCTACATCAAAACCACAGATGACATACTTGACCAGTCCTCAAGGTGTTGTTAAACACATAAGAGACTAATGTGGATGCACCTAAGTACTTCACATAGAGTGCAGGACTCTAGTACAAATGAATCAATCAGTTCTGAAGGCTTTCCTTCTTTCCACAATCTCCATGCCTAAATACAAATTATCAACTCTTTCATGTTCCAGTTAAGGAAGGTAAAAAGGTTTGTCATAAAAATGGTACTTACATTGCCAATAAGGTTAAGCCTATGGTTGAGATGATAAGACCCTTTATTCTTCTTCCCACTTATTATCTCCCGTAACAGTATCCCAAAGCTGAAAACGTAGGATTTTACTGAGAATTGCTCATATTCTAGCACCATAAAACCACTGCAGAGAACAATCAAGACAAATCATATCAGCAGGGAATTTGTAGTAATTTAGGTAGCATAGAGATAGAACATGCTAGGTTCCAACCACTCTCTGTGTGTTCCCCTCAGACTGTTCTCCGCCAAATGATCTAGCCATGCCAAAGTCTGAAAATTTGGGGCTCATTTCACTATCAAGCAAAGCATTGCTTGCTTTGAGATCTTTATGTATGATCCTCAATCAGAATCTTGATGTAGATAGACGAGCCCTCTAGCAATTCCACAAATAATGTGAAAACACCTTGACCAATCTAAAAGATTCCTTCTTGTATGAGCTATCATGTAACATGTTCTTCGTATTAATGTAGTCTTCAAATAGAGTTTTTGAAAAAGAGTTGTACTGAAATATGGAAACAATTTCTGATGAATTTATGCTGTGCCTATTGAATGGTTAACAGGAATTCCAGCCAAAAGTGAAGAAGTTCAAACTTCTATTGGGCACATATTAGTAAATCAGTATTTTCTCCTCCCCTGAACGCAGCATCATAGAAGCTTTACAAGATTCCAATGTTGAAGTTTGGATATAAGTGCAACTTCATTTTTGAACTCAACTAGTCCTTGTCCAGGGCTTCTTGAGAGCCTCTTCATGGCAATTTCTTTTCTATGCAGCAGAGTACCCAGCAAAAGTGTACTTGTAAAGTCAATTTCTTTCTTAACAAAGACTTCTTATTCTAGTAGTCAATTTTACTAGAGCTTTGAGCATTTACCTTGTAGATATGCCCAAAGCTACCATCTCCTAGCTTGTTGTTTGAAGAGAAGTTATTAGTGGCCTTCAACATTACATCTAACTCAAATAATTGGAGTTCCATTTCTTCATTTTGCCTTTCTTCAATCCTGCCACATTCTTTTCCTGAGAGGGTGGTAAACCTAAACATCTTAACCTTGAAATTTGATAATTGGCAACTAGACAAAGAGCATGGTTGAGTATTTAGGGTATTCCATAACTTCTATGTTTGCATCTACTTGTATGTTGGAAGCAAATAGAAGAATTTAACCAAAATCAAATGATCAGAAAAGAACTGATGGAAGTTGCTATCAATATTTAATGGCAACATGATTTGTGAAGGCAAAGAAACATATATTCTATGTTTCTACAGCTCTAGTGAATGACATATGTGATTACAAGAACACCAATAACTACACAAATTGTAGTTGCAATTATCAGTCCTGTCTTCATTTTAGTCTTGCCTTTTGCCTCTTCATGGTCAAATTCAATAAAGCAAAGAAGAAATATGAGAATTAGAGTCATAGCAATGAAATCATTCACATTTGACTGAGCATAGAACTAGTAACGCCCAACAAAAACAGGAATCATAACTTAATGACACACTAAAATGCTAGGCTGAACCAAAATTAACACAATTCCTGAATCAGCAGCAAACATTCAAATATATAAATCCTGTCCAGCAGACTGGACTTGTTTAAGATCAAATAGATCACCATACCAGATTGCACAGCCACTGGGTTCTTTAATATCCAAGGTTGTATAGGCCATACAAGGACAATTCTCTAAGCATTTAGCCCTGCACTCATTCAGATCCATACTTTTATTGACAGTTCTCTGTTTTCTAGCCTCATGATTAATTGGGAGTCATGTGCAGTCCCAACTACACTCCAAAATATTGCAGTTAGCCATTAATTTCTACCTGAATATGATTTAATTCAGGTACTACCCCTTCTTCAATGAGACAAGGAGAAAAATAATTGTTCATAAAATTAGCTGTCTGAAACGGTGTGGTGCAGCAGCCAACAGGACAATACCACCTCATTTGGTATCAGAGCAATCCTTCCTCGATTACCAATGATTTTTCCTTTCTTTTCCTTATCTTCTTCTACTCCATCAAATCAATAACTTTAATCCCATTTTCTGTAATCCATTGAAGTGATTCTTCCTTGGGCTATGGAAATAGAAAGAAGTAATTGGACACAAGAACAAGAACAGAAAGGGAACAGTCTCAGACACGCAAAGAAATCTATTTCATGGGTAATGCAAAGTTGGAATAATCAAGAACTCCACCAAAATGCCACTGTAAGAAATTCTACTTCTAATCCTACTTCAGATTACTTTGCTTGCATGTTTGGGTTTGAAAGAATTGAATTTCAATGGTATGATGGAATTGGTTTGAGGATGTGGGTACATCAGTGCAGTAAAATTTTTCAAATACTGTGAAATTGTTGATGAATTGAAAGTGCAATCAGCATCTTTGTTCTTGAAGCAAAAAGCACTTAGATGGCATGAAGCTTGCATGGTTGACAAAACAGGGCACCCTAATTGGGAAGATTATATCTTTGATATGAAGTTTTGGTTCATTGAATATTGGGACATGCTAGATTCAAAAATTGAATGGAATAACCTTGTGCAAACTGATACAGTTTTCCAGCATTATAGGGAATTTGAGAAAATCAGATTTAGGGTGAGATGTTCTGAGCAATTTGTTGTATCTTTCTCCATTGGTGGTTTGAGAGAAGAAATCAAAGTTTATGTTAAAGAAAGAAAACCCAGAATGCTTGATGATGCGTATGGCTTAGCTTTGTTGCAAGAACTTTTGCTGGCATACAATAATATCTCCTGTAATGATCCGCCCTTACTGCACATAGCAATTGATAATGCTCAAGGCTCTGATCATGAACAACATCTAGATGAATCTGAGATAGATAATGAGAAAATTGGAGTAATAGATGAACCTATGTTATTTGAGTCCAATTTAGAAGTGGATAATACAAGAAGCTATGAGTTTGGCCCTATTGAAGAAGAACAACTTGCACTTGTATTTGAGGGGAAACAAATGCCAATGGAATTCCAAGGAACCACTTTAGTCAATGATTTGGCAATTGGATTTGAACTGGTGTTAAGGGCAGCAATTAATGATGAAAAGGAGGAGGAGCTCCGTCCTTTGGACAATAAGAATAGCAAATATGTGCTTAAAGATGAATTGAGGGAGGTTCGAGAGATGAAGTTGAGTAATGATTTTGTTTTAGGAATTGAGTACCATGTAGAATCGGGCTACAAGAAAGCTTTGTGTATTTTTTTCTCAGACCATAAGATGGTACGACATGTTTTATGGAATTTTAAGAAACAAAAGAGGAACATGTTATTTTGCAAGATGGTGGAATGTGGAGGTTTAGTGGGATTTGAGGAAGGATAGGGATAAGTTGGCTGCTTCGGAATTTATGACAGAATCTTTGTTGAGATTTCAAGAACTGAATCCTTGAGGACAAGGATATTTTCAAGAGGGGGGTATTGATACAGTGCCAATTTCTCCAGCCAACTTGGTGAGATCCATGATGTTTGTAAACTAATTATACAGTTTATTAACCAATTATGTCAGTCAGTTAGTTTATTGCGGTTAGGTATTGGCCTTTGTATTTAAGGAGTCTTGTATTATGATTTTGAATCATGGAATCAGATTATTCAGAATTACCTCTTGATTTTCTCTCTTTTCTCTCTGTGTTCTGCTTCTTCTTTCTCATATTTCTCTATTATGTTTCTCTGCTTTCTTTTTCAATTTCTGGTTCTTTTCAGCATGTATCCTAGTCATTTAGTCCACAAAATGGGGTCAGATGATTATTTATATTCACTTTTCCACTACTTTCCCAGTAACCAAACAGAGAGGGCATGCAATGTTGATCCAATACTCAATAATAACAACATAAAAACAAAAAGAAATACCCAAAAATCAGTTTGGTAAATACATTTACCTGAGGCTGAGAGAATAATAATCCAGCTAGTTGTGCTCTTGGTCAAAATGGGGACGTGACTTCACCATCCCTAAAAACAATTGGACCATCCCACAAATCCGACCTTTGAAAACGCCAACGCCGAAGAAGAAGATGACCAGGAGAAAGAAGATGAAATGAGAGAAGGAGAGATTTTATATTCCCGACCCGAAAATAATCTCTGGTCTGTGTACGATTGGTTCCTGAGAAGATGGTGGATTCTGCTCATCGGATCCGTTAAACAGATGGTGGCTTCCTTCTGCAGCGGCCGGCCAGCGGGACGGCCGTAGCCGGCCGGCAGTTGCGAGCTAATCATAGGCTCGCATTTTCACTTTTTTTTTGGTTTAATACCCAATTTGGTCCTTAAACTTTATTTTAAAACTTAGTTCGTCCTTTAACAAATGAAAGCACCCAAGTTGTCCTTTAACTTCATTTTTCTGGAACCCAAATGGTCCTTCCGTTGAAAGATTGCTAACTTGGCACGTTAAGTGTCCAACAATTACAACTTTTAATTTTTAGATGCCTATGTGGAAAAAACACCTCAGCCCAATTGCTTACATGGCACGTTTGATAAAATAAAAATAGTAGGATATACACTTCATTGTTTTTCAGAAACCCCAAAGCCTTCTTTGACCCTTAAATCTGCAATTTCTTCTCCAAACCTTAGATTCCTTCTTCGACCCTTAAATCCTCTACAATTTCATCTCCGAACCCTTCTTCGATCCTTAAATCCTCTGCAATTTCTTCTCCGAACCCTTGATTCCTTCTTCGACCCTTAAATTTGCAAGTTCTTCTCCGAACCCTTGACTCCTTCTTTGACCCTTAAATCTGCAATTTCTTCTCCAAACCCTTGATTCCCTCTTTGACCCTTAAATCCTCTGCAAGTCTTTCTTCTCCGAACCCTTCTTCGACCCCTAAATCGTCTTCCACTCTTGCTTCCTTCTTCTTCTTCGAACCCTAAATCTTTTACACTTTGTGATTCATTCTTCTTCCCTTGCACCGTATAACCTCTGCTATTTGTCTTTTGGCTTTTGGGTTTGTGAGAATCATAAAATGGAAGCTGGTTCTGCACGGAGTCCGGTTTCAGGTTTTGGTTCACTTGAGAGTGGAAGCATGGCAGATTCTACAGAGTTTAGAAATGAAGATTATAGATGCAATTGTGGATTAAATGTTGTTATTCGAACTTCATTTACTTTCCAAAACATAGGTAAGAGGTTTAGATGTTGTCCTAAGAAGAAGTTAATTTCTCTGTTTTTTGGCAGTGTTAATTTCTTTGTTTTTTGGCAGTGGTTTTGGTTTTTCTCAATTGGTTATTTAGTTTACAAGATTTCTATGTAGGATCCTTCCAATTACTTCCATTTCTTAGCTGATGAGGAAAAGATCAATGGTAGAGCGATGGAGTTGCTGCTGTTTTTGAAAGATAAGGAATGCAGAGTTATGAAAGAGAAGGAGAAAATAATGCAAGAAAAAGATGAGCTTCTGTTGGAAAATGGACGATTGATGGAGGAAAATGGGAAATTGTTGACTGAAAATGGGAAATTGT